AATGCAACTACGAATATGTAAGAAATATACGTTTATTTATTTACATACAAGAAAAACCAGTCAATCTTTGAAATAGGCCAAAAACATATTTCAGAAAAACAATTTCCTTTCTTCCATTTTTACAAAGGATGATATTTTTATACTTATGTTTTTATATATACTTGTAGTTCGCGATATTTTGTTGATATAAAACTAACTTTGCATCACGTTTTTAGCTTATGTACTATCATTGTTACTTTTCGAGGAAGGCTCTCATCTACATACATAATTTATATAAAAATAAATCGTCGAAAAGTATACTTCTGCACGACTTTACCAAATTGGATAATTCTTTTTTTGTGTGTATGTAAAGGACAAGATTTGTATAAAAAAACAATAAACGTAATAGATAAATAGATTGAGGTGTTTCAGGGGCGCAAATATTTTACTGTCTAGATATTTCCGCCAAACAATCACACTAATATTATAAAGGCGAAAGTTTGTGAGTGTATATGTTTGTTACTTCTCGAGATCTAAACGTCGAAACGAGCGATTTTAATAACAATTTGGTATGGAGTTAGCTGACAACCTGGATTAACACATGGGCTACGTTTTAGTGCGGGAAAATATCCCTAATAAACCGCGGTTAACACCGCGGGGCACAGCTAGTGACAGATAAATACAAGATCGACTACTGCCAATGTCAACACACACACAACTAAATAACCTGTCATGTGCGAGTAGCGGTGGGCGTTTAAACGAAAAGCGCTTAAATAAGCGCGCTTAAAATATTAAGCTTGTAAGCACGCTTTTAAGTATAAGCGTTATAAGCTTATCACTAAAAAAAGTGTGAGTAAGCTTTTCACTTAAAAAAGTGCAAGTATATTTTTTACTTAAAAAGTGCAAATCCCGCCATCTATGTCTTTGCCAGGAAACTACATACTTCGATCCTTCTAGTCCACTACAGTATCGTAAAATGGGTACGCGGAATTCCTTGGTATCACAGACATACAGACGCCGACGCGACTACAGCGCCGCGTCGGCGTGCCATCTTTCGTGAGCCGGTTAATACAGCATGCGAATTATTATAATGCGACGTAAAAAAATGCACTTTTTTTAAAATTTGGTCGGATAACCAACGCTTTTTTCGTTAAAAGCGTTTAATTAAACGAAGTCGAAAAGCAGTACGCTTGTCACTGTGACGGGGTAAGAGCGCGTGGGTGTTGTACGGTGTGTTTGCATGCTTGCTTGACGTGTTAATGCGTTTCGTGTATTGGTTTAATGTGCATATAAAATAGTTAAAAGTATGTATATAAAATCAATGAACTTTTAAGTACGCCTGGATCACGAGTATATTAACTCCATACAGTCCTAAGCTTGTAAAGTATGAAGGAAAGTTCATTGACTATTATAAAAATGTTTATTATAAAATCTAAATTCAATTGAAAATCTTTCGTTTTTAATGCCAATCAATTCATTAGGTTTAAAAATTTTTTTTAATAAAAATTTCATTAATAAGAAGAAAAAACGCAATAAAACACTTAAACACATTAAAAACCACAATAAACTTTTCACGCTTTTTTAAACGATATACCTAAACGAAAACACAACACAACGTCGCGCTTTTTACGCATGCTTTTAAACGTTTAAGCCAATAAGCGTTCAAACGAAATGACAATAAACTTTTCACGCTTTTTTAAACGATATACCTAAACGAAAACACAACACAACGTCGCGCTTTTTACGCATGCTTTTAAACGTTTAAGCCAATAAGCGTTTAAACGAAAAAGCTTTTTTTCAAGCGCGCTTATTTTAAAAAGTACAACGTTTAAACGCTTTTAAGAAATAAGCCGTTTTTTCCATCTCTATGTGCGAGTCGGACTCGAGCACCGAAGGAAACAAGTACGTATGGAAATTGGAAATAGTAATCGCGTCTCAAAGATTTCTCCTTATTTTTAGGGTACTAAAGTGCTACTAGAAAATTGTAGTTTAGCAGCAAAAGTCATGATGCGGACAAAGTAACTTAAAAATAACTCTTCGGTTGTATGAGACGCTGGTATATGGGTTATACAAAAAGCAGTTATGATCACACGTCCGCTGTTAAAACAAATACTTTGAGATGGAAAACCATAGAGAACATATGGGATTTACCATTCTACTAATATAATTATGCTATTAATAATATACAGGGCGTCCCACGGCTACCTCACACGGAGGGAAAGTATATTAAATATTGAAGATATTACATTTTATTGAAAGAAGACATTGTTTTATTTTTAATAAAAAATGATGTGGTGTCGTGGGACACCAGGTAGGAACGAAGTTTCTTCGGCTAATGTAGAATCGACACAAATTGCAAACTCGCTTGTGTATGTGACTGTCGCGCCTGCGCACGTCTCATTTAACGGTTTTATTCCACGTACTTTTTTCCACGGATTTTTTCTTAAGGTTTTACTATCACATTTTTTTCAGTTCGGTCGCGCAGCACAATCCCTATCCCCTCCAAGCCTGCCGTAAGGAACTTCGTCGCGCCTGCGCACGTCTCATTTAACGGTTTTATTCCACGCACTTTTTTCCACGGATTTTTTCTTACGGTTTTACTATCACATTTTTTTCAGTTCGGTCAGCTAGTGTTCGTAAAGATTGCTAGGCAGGACTGGCCCACAGTTTATAATAAACTACAATGTCACAATAATCCAGTAATGCAGCCCCGTCGCTCTGCCACCCCCCTGGACTTAACCACAGTTTAGTATAATATACGACAATAATCCAGTGTTGGTATAATGCCACAATAATTTGGGGTTGCACCCCCGTCGCTCTGTCACCCCCTGTTAAGTACTGACCTTGTTATCATGTCTAGCTTAAGTTTACAGCAGATGACAGGCGTTCCTGGTCCACAGCTCGGTATAACGTCACAAATATCCAAATTTCGTGTGATGTCACAATATTCCAGTGCTGCACCCTCGTAGCTGTGCCACCCCCTACATACGCACCTTATTATCATGTCCCGCTAGCGTTCGTAAAGGATGCTAGGCAGGACTGGCCCACAGTTTAGAATAAACTACAATGTCACAATAATCCAGTGATGCACCCCCGTCGCTCTGCCACCTCCTGATAAGTACTCACCTTGTAATCATAATCATGTCTCACAGGCGTTACTGGTCCACAGCTTGATATAACTTCACAAATATCCAGTGTTGGTGTAATATCACAATATTTCAGTGATGCACCCTCGTCGCTCTACCACCCCCTATAACTTCACACATATTCGGTGTTGGTGTAATATAACAATATTTCAGTGATGCACCCTCGTCGCTCTACCACCCCCTATAACTTCACACGTATTCAGTGTTGGTGTAATATCACAATATTTCAGTGATGCACCCTTGTCGCTCTACCACCCCCTATAACTTCATACATATTCAGTGTTGGTGTTATATCACAATATTTCAGTGATGCACCCTCGTCGCTCTACCACTCCCTATAACTTCACACATATTCACTGTTGGTGTAATATCACAATATTTCAGTGATGCACCCTCGTCGCTCTACCACTCCCTATAACTTCACACATATTCAGTGTTGGTGTAATATCACAATATTTCAGTGATGCACCCTCGTCGCTCTACCACCCCCTATAACTTCACACATATTCACTGTTGGTATAGTATAACAATATTTCAGTGATGCATCCTCGTCGCTCTACCCTCTATAACCTCACACATATTAAGTGTTGGTGTAATATCACAATATTTCAGTGATGCACCCTCGTCGCTCTACCACCCCCTATAACTTCACACATATTCAGTATTGGTGTAATATCACAATATTTCAGTGATGCACCCTTGTCGCTCTACCACCCCCTATAACTTCACACATGTTCACTGTTGGTGTAGTATCACAATATTTCAGTGATGCACCCTCGTCGCTCTACCACTCCCTATAACTTCACACATATTCAGTGTTGGTGTAATATCACAATATTTCAGTGATGCACCCTCGTCGCTCTACCACCCCCTATAACTTCATACATATTCAGTGTTGGTGTAATATCACAATATTTCAGTGATTCACCCTTGTCGCTCTACCACCCCCTATAACTTCATACATATTCAGTGTTGGTGTAATATCACAATATTTCAGTGATGCACCCTCGTCGCTCTACCACTCCCTATAACTTCACACATATTCAGTGTTGGTGTAATATCACAATATTTCAGTGATGGATGCACCCTCGTCGCTCTCTCTCTCCTGCCGTAAGGAACTTCGTCGCGCCTGCGCACGTCTCATTTAACGGTTTTATTCCACGCACTTTTTTCCACGGATTTTTTCTTACGGTTTTACTATCACATTTTTTTCAGTTCGGTCGCGCAGCAAAATCCCTATCCCCTCCAAGCCTGCCGTAAGAAACTTTCGTTCCAATAATAAAGTATTATGTTTTTATTTATTTTTTAAAGCATTACACTGCTAGATGTTTAAATCTAAAGAAAAGTTTTAATAGAAAAAAAATCCACGCAGACCAGGCAGCAGACGGGTCTCGAACCCGCAATCCGGGCGAATGCACTGACCAGTTATGCTACCGTGGCCCTGATGACCGCGTCAAAATTTTACTATCCTTAAGCTACAAGGCAGCGCATTAAACAAATAGCTAGAAAACAATAAAGTATTATTTCTTACTACAGAAAAATTATTATGCTTCGCTAATACTTTAAGAAGCGGTGATGGAATCGTAATCCTTCTTTTCGAGTTGCCGTAATCGGGTACAAATTAAACTATAATAAATAATTATCAACCGAAACGGTAAAATAATTCACCGAAATTCATAGTACCTACTAACAAAAATGATAAACTTTATCATATAACTTTATCGTGATTTTAAAGTTGTTATTTTTTTCCAATTACACGTGGATGGAACCCAATGGACATTACAAATCCACTTCTCAACTACGTAACCTTGAATAGTTATTAAGTTTTTGAGTGTATGTGTGTGTTTTGTGAATGATTATAATTTAGTCATTGTCATCGCGTGCGCATACGCCGGTCGTCTCGCAGGCAAACATACTACCGATCTCAACTTGACAGTTTAATAGCCGAAACTTCATTCTCTGTTCTCTGGTCGAAACTATGACAATTATCGTGAGTGTGTGTGATAAATGATAACTATATAATAAAGTGTTGTTTTAAAATTTTAAGGTCAGTATTAGTACCTATTAAGGGTGATAAAAATATTGCATACAAGAAACTACAACAATCTTCGATTTCACTACTTGTTAAAGTTACATCTTGATGGAGGGATGGCTCACCAAAAACATTTATAATATAGCTAAGTACTTCATTAACGATGAAACCTATCCATTCGTAGTCAATCGTATTTTGTGTTATAGTCTGCTATGTTATCTTCACAAAATTGGTATTCATTTCGGTATGTTTATGTGTTGCTATTTACATTACTTAAAGGTCAAAACTGGTTAAACTTGCTGCTTTACACTTGTCTTTCGGTATACATCAATGGTTTAACTTGACGATTTTCTTGATCTATGGTATCACTAGTATTGTAAAATGAAAAAGCAATATTATTTGAAAGTTATGACTGTTATTTTATCCTACATTTGTATTTTTTTTCAATAAAACAATCTTTGATAAATAAATGTTTATTAAGGTTTGTTTGCCTGATTTCACACATACTTAAAAAAAACATTCTTCAACTGCGCTCTGCTCTGTCCCTGTGTTTGTTTGTTTGATACTTCAAACAAACATAACGTAACCACGGTAATAATAGATAATATTACCGTGACGTAACCATATGGGAAATTCTAGGATTTTCTCGTTCATCGTACGTAAGAGTAGGGAGCGCCTGGTTGGTAATTATTTTCAATATATATGGGATATCTTCTATACTTATAATAAATCTGTAGAGATGTCAATTCTGTACATGAAATATATTTTTAAAATAACTATCAGGGGGTGATTAGTGATCGATACTGATGCCAAAAATGCAATCAGTAAAATTTTTGTCTGTCTGTCTGTCTGTCTGTGTATATGTTCCTTATAGAAACAAAAACTAATCAACAGATTTTAACGAAACTTGGTACAATTATTCTTCATACTCCTGGGCAGGTTATAGTATACTTTTCATCACGCTACAATCAATAGCAGCAGAGTAGTGAAGGGAAATGTTGGGAAAACGGGAGAAGTTACTCCATTTTTTAAGCTTCCGTCGCGGGTGCAGCCTTAATGTTTAAAGTTACATAGAAATCATGTATGACGGAAATATTCTACATAAAATTGTCTAAAAAATATCCTGCAACAGCATATGTCTATCTTTTATGGTTGACTCACAATAACACGTGTAATTATATAAATAAAGACATTCTTTATAGCACAAGCCTGAGAACAAAAACTATAGTTTACACTACAACTCTACACCGAAGCGAAGCGAGGGCGGGCCACTAGTATATAATTAACAGTAAACTTTATTAATATTAATATATAAAAGTATAGCCGCCGATTTCTTTTTGATTCCTCCCGCGCGGGCCATCCTGCGCACGTCTGCGGGGTCCCCGCAATACCTCGGGAGACCCCTGCCGTGGAGCCCCGGCTAGGCCGGGAGGCTGCTGGGTGCGGAGACGCGGAAGAATCCCTAAACGGGGATCCCGCGGTTTCGCACTAAGCAGCTTAGAGGGTATTCGCAGGACTTTTTTAGCGGATATTATACCGTAAAGCGCCCGTAAGAGTTGCGGGGTCCTCGGTGGGCAGCCACTGTGGGGTTCGTAAGACTTGCGGGAGCCAGGTGTGAGGTCCGTTCGGCGGTGTGCCTCTTAAAGGCGCCGTCGTCTGTAAATAGATTTTTTACCTGCGTATTAAAAAAAAAAAAAAGGCGAGGCGGGGGAGCGGATGTGAAGTTCTCATGGATACTCTACAGCCGGCTTATGTCAGCACTATTATCATGAATTTTCCCATGTTTTTCAAGCCAATAGTTTTTAGCTTTTAGACGATATTCGATCAAAAATTAGCACGTTAAAGTTTAATATTTAGCAAACAGATCCCGAAATCGAAAAATAGTCTTAGGAACCCCTTAGTATTTTAAAGGACCTATTCAACGATATCCCACACGATGGGGTAGATGATGGAAAACAGTCATCCCCAGGTTACATGAAGGGGGGGGCAACCCTAAAAAAAATTCTACCATTTTGTCGGCGTAATCGATATACATATCTCCACTACAGCTCTCTAGTGCTAATAGTCTCCAAGCAAAACCGGGGAAGGTCAGACGGACATGACGAAACTATAAGGGTTCCTTGTTAGGACTACGGAACCCTAAAAAAGTGAGCCCTTGTTATAGGCGTATAGGTTTCACTTTTGACCACAGTCTGTGGAACTTGACCGACCTCTGACCAAGATCTTTTGACTAGATAAGTAATCCACTCCTCTTCACCTTACTCAACACTTTATAAATTAAGTTTTCAGTCTACTTTTCTTAACTTTCTATTTTTCTTTTATAAACGGATAAAATATTCTTATTTCATAATCAGGTAGGAACAGATGACTAAAACTTCTTCTTTCATGGATGTTTAAGAAAATAGACCAAAAGGTTACTTTTAGGTTTTGTGCCACAAAAAAAACAACCGGCCAAGTGCGAGACGGACTTGCGCACCGAGGGTTCCTGAATTTTCAAAAATATTTTTTATTATATGATGTAACTAAAAATTTACAGTTTTCGCAATTTTTCCTTTATCTGTACTATAAGATGTTACTTCGTACCAATTTTCAAGAGTCTAAGTTCACGGGAAGTACCCTGTAGGTTTTGATTCCCGTGCTAGTTTCGAAAATTTGCGGATATTTGCGGCATAAACGGCAGTATCTTTTGATTGCTTTGGCTTAGAAGTTTGATTTTTTCACAGCTCCAAGGGACAGTAGACCTAAGTATTAGATATGAATTTCCGTTTGATACCTCCACGCGTTCCTGAGTAAAACGGTCTTGACAGACGGACTGACAGACGGACGGACAACAAAGTGATCCTATAAGGGTTCCGTTTTTTCCTTTTAAGGTACGGAGCCCTAAAAACGAAACCCTTTTATGATAACATAGTAGCCCGTCCGCCGAATTCTTTGAAATTAAAAATAAAACTGATCTAAGTATATTTAACAACTAGTGGCTTCGCTTCGGTGTATGTACAGCCATACTATTGTTTTTGTTCTGAGGCTTGTATTTATGCACTTTGTTTTGGTTGAACGTGCTAATCTCAGGAAACACTGCGCGCTGGGTAATCGGCCGAACTAAGACAAAAATCATGTATTACAGAATTATTCCAGTTTAAAAGTTCTATAAAAAAGTCCGGACAGCATATGCTCATCTTTTAAGTTTGACTCATTATAACCTTTTTCCTCAAATTAACACGGGTGAAACCGCAGGGCACCTCTAGTTGTGACATAACTGTAATAGACATACAGTATCGCGGACTTTTTTGAAGATATTGATGTCTTCTATAAAACTTCAGTACTTATATCACTTTGCTTTATTGTCAATGACTTCCGCAGCGTACGCGATAAAAGGTTATTTTTCGGTATTTTTTTCACACGCGTTACATTTCTCGAATCGAAATCGAAGTTGTCTTAATGGCACCCTAACTTTTTTGGAAATACTCTATAGTCTATGTTCATTAGGGATAATGTATTAGGTAAGAATTTTTCAAATCGGTCCAGTAGTTTTGGAGCCTATTTAATACAAAGAAACAAATAATCAATTTCCTTTTTATATGTAATACTAGTAAAGATTAGTATAGATATATTGGTGTTTGAGTAAAATAAATGCAATATTATGTAAATATTTTTTAAGTTCCGAATGATCTATCATTGGGAAGTTACAAAATGTGAAAGGGCGCCATCAGGTTTAAAGTTAAACTCGATGATACTCGTATGTCTTCCCATATTTTTTCAAAATATTGTTACCCTTCTTAGTGATATTCTAAAATGTATGATGCCCATTTGAGTACGGTTGGGTGAGGTACACGGCCAGTATCAATAATCAATCTCCAGTATGAGATAGGCTTGTAAGTCTGTTAAGAGAGTTGTTTACATATTTTTGTCAATTGGTTAAAAATAACAACTGTTGCTAAGAAACAAAACTAGATTAAGGTTATATTTTACCGAAGATTGATTATTGAAACTGCCAGATAACAGTATAACCAAAGATATTTTATTACAACTTGAAACAAACTAAATTAATACGAAAACATAAGTAATTTATTTCTAACTCGTGCTGCTTTTCCTGTTATCAGTTTATTGCACTACTTAGCGGGCATTGAAGTGTTCTCGTCTTATCATATTTATATACGAATATTATTTTTGATTAAAATCATGTAAGTACGATAGAAACATTTACCTACAACTGCTTACTTATCTCATGTCATGTTAAGTAACTGTGAGACTATGAGTGATAAAACATAAATTTTGTTCGTGAGTACAAGTTTACCTTATTTCTGTGGTCTATGCAACCTCATTATTGCTAAGATTGCTTAGTATTTTGCATAGCACTAACTTGCTTTTACTGATTAAGCTTCCAAATGAATTTATAAAAAAAAAACAACTTATGTAGCAACGGAATTCCGTCGCCTGATAAGCATTTACCAATACAGAAAGGGATCACTCTGTTTTAGCGTCTTTTTACCCGACTGCGCAATGCAAGAGCGCGAAGCGCGACGCGCAGACAGGGTATAGTGTTTAACTGGACCGATTTTGATGATTCATACATCAATCGATTTGTCTCAATCATGGGAGTGCTACTAATAGACCAGGGTCGATAATTTTAAAAATGGTGAATAGTGAAAAAAAATAATAGTAGGATGAAACCCATTAGAAAAGGTAGAGAATATAACAAAAATGAAAGGAAAAATAAATTACGGGCGATCTGGGGTCGGGAAGGGGGAGGGGGTGAGTTTTTAAGGGTAAAAATGGTTAATCTCGATTTCCGGTAAAACTGCAAGTCCTATGAAAAAAAGTTAAATGGCAAAGTTGTAGGTAATAAAAAGATCTACAACTTTTGTATCGACACTTTTTTCACATAACCTCAAAATTTATGTGAAAAATGCGAATAACCGAGTTTTTGGTTTTTGATTTTTATTTTTTGCAAAAAAAATATTTTTTCACGAAATTTGGTGAAAACTTACCTTTGTATGTCCCGAACATATAGTAAT